GGGCTTCCACACACGCCCCCAGAATTAAACTGGCTCTATAAATAGCTCGTGTCTCATGTGAGGAGCTGAGGCTGCACAGCCGCCCACGCTGTGCTTTGGGGTTATTTTTAGCATCAGGGAGATGTTACCTGGCTGATTGCTGCCAAATGAGAAGGAAAGGCATTAAACTGTACACAGTTAATTAGTGCTGACAGCCGAGCTGTTCTCTGTGCCTGCCCCTGCCTTTCTGTCTCTGCAATGAATCTGTGTCAAGTCTTCCCAGCCTTCTGAAATCAGGGCAGTTCCCTGATTTTTAGTGCAGTGACTGGCAGATGGAGCTCCATCAAAACCACTGTTAAGCTCCAGGTGAGTTTAGGTGAGTCTCTAAACTGGGCTCAGTTCAGTAGCTACTTAACTTCTGCATTAGGACTACTAGTGGTTTGGGCACACACACCCCCTTTTTGGTCAAACTAAAAAAAGTATTCCCCTAAATTCTGGGGATTTAGCCCAGTTTCCTGCTGAACCTCTCAGTCTGGAGGGCTGATGCCTTTTCAGTGAGCAAAGCTGCGCTGAGACATTTCTGTGAGGAAGTGGCACTGGACGTGCCGTCCTTGGGAAACAGGACAGCTTTTGTGTCATCAATAGGTAACATTTCCTTTGTGATGGCTCTGTGGTGAACTGTCAGGCTGTATTTTAGGCTGCAAATCTGAAGTGCTCTTTGCCTGGTATTGTTCTCTCTCAGGCAGCACTGCAGACTTCACGCTCTGTTACCTGACTGAGGTACAAACCAGGCTCTAATCCACGTATGCATTTAGCTACAGCTGCAGTTTCTGGGCAAGTCAACTTGAAAATGCCCCTCCAAGAACCTCAGGGCAGCATTAGAACTACAGATCCCAGATGTGGTAAAGTACTGAATAAAGATACCTCCTTTTCACTTCACATTGCCAAGAAGCCTTGCCCCAGCATGATCCACTTACCCAGGCCAAGATTTTCGGTGTGGTAAAGATCAGTTTTAGGTGCTCAAGTTTTGGTTCTGCTCTGTGTCCACAAGCCCATCGTTTCTCCTGTCTGACTCCTTTGATGCCCACGTTGCTGCATGTGAATTCCTGTCTCCATAATCTCTTAAGTGCCACTTAACACATCGTGTCTATTTATGCAAATACCCAAGGAGGGGAAACAGAACATGAAGTATAATCTTTTCCAGGAATTCATGTATTCATTGAAACATTAAGCAATACTGGGGTGTCTTTAACCGTGGTTATATGAGGCATTCTTGAAAAGCACCAACCACCCAGGCAGCTCAAACATCAACTTCCTAAACACTCAGATATCAAATTTAATTAAGCAACCTTTCACTGCATCACTCTTCAGTCTAGCAACTATTTTACTCTCCCAGGTTTCAGCTTAAACCCCCCCTAGAACAACGTGAGCCTGTAAGACAGAAAGTAGATATTGCAAATAATTGTACTTGCAAATGTCTTTCCTGCCTCGTGACACAAAGAGCTCCAAATTCGCTGAATTCCATTGAGGGCTTATTATCTGTACTCCAAGCACATACCAATGGGAACCAAGACCTGTTGGGAGCCCTGCTGCCTCATGCACAGTAGAGTATTGCAAGTGTGCACCCTGGTTTGGGGCACTGGAGATGCATGAATTAGTTAAGAGAAGCACTACAGCATAGGGAAATCTGGGAAAAATGGAATCCTGCCATCTTGGATGGAGGAGCAGGCAGAAGTGCGTGTTTCCACGGCAACAAGTGGTAGATTAAATTGGCTGGGAGCACGAAATACAGGAAATACACTTTTCAAAAGCAGCAATGCACATAAATGACTCCTGGAATCCTCATGCTGCTGTCAGTCAATAATAAGTCTGAAGTCAGTGGATTTGCACTGCTGTAAAAGTAGAATCTGGCTCAGAAGATAGAACTCCTCAATCTCTCTTTTGAGATGGAATAAGTGGGAAAGTGAAGAAAAATAGGGATTTTAGCTTTGACTTCCTAAACACTCATGAGAGTGATAGCAGAGAGCTGATTTTCTCAGCAGGCTCACAGCTACTCTTGAAATGTGTTACAACCAGAGCCATTTAAAAATACAGTGGTATTGAGAAGATGTTATTCTTTTGCCTCCCCGTTTCCAAAGTTACATAAACACTATTATTTGATGTATTTTGCACATTAGGCATGTCAGCACAGCTTTTCCTCCAGAGCACAGAGCTAGGCTGTGTTAGCTGTGGGACTGAGGCAATTTGCTAGACAGCTACAGACTATCAAATCCTACAACTGTGCTGAAAAATATCGATCTTGTAAACAACTGCCTGTTTTCTTGCCGTTCTTATGCCGACAGCTATTGAATAACTACTCGCTAATCTGCCCATATATTATTTTTTGGTGCTAAGGAACGGGTCTATAACCTGATGGCACACGTGGATTCATGATTTGCTGTTATCAAGTGTTACTGGTATGGCAGTAGCAACATGCTCTCACCTGCACAGGTAGTGGCAAAACCCTACAGAGGGCAGACATTCCTACTGGATCCCATTTCCTGGTCAGTACTTCCCACCTCAGCACTCAGCAGGAAGTTCCTCAGCTATGAACTTCCAAGCTGTCACAAAGAGATTATGCTGCCCAAGTACCGGTGAAATGAATGAACTCTTCCCAGCGTGGTTTCATTTCCACGCCACTGCCAGGTTGTGCTGAGAGGGGGCTCTGGGGTGGTCTGGGTTTTGTGGGGTGAGTCCTAGTCAGAAGCTCCAGAGGGATGTCTCTGGGCTTCGACTCTCTGGCCTTTACCAACACCCATTTTTACTTGGTTGGTTGGTGGTTGGGTTTTGTTGAACACCTACTTGCTTTTCCTGGTGTAAATATTTTCCTGATACATCCACCACCTGAGCTTTCCTGCATGCTCATGTTCTATTCTGGTGGATGAGTTAAGAGCTGAGCTGAGCTCTGCCAGCTCACATATGTGCTGGAAGTTGTGTGGGAGAGGGCTTCCAATCTGTTTTGCCATTCCTGGCTATTCCAGCCATCTCCGTCCCGTCTGTTCCCCGAAATGCGCTCGATATTCCACATTCCAGGAAGAAGGAGCTAAATGAAGGCATGTTTACCAGCACTTGGAACAAAGATGGCTTTTAGCCAACCTCTAGACATCACCAATGAGATCAATGGGCTGCACCACACATAGTGCCAAAAAAACAGAGCAGACAGTGGGGAGGGTCCCTTCACTGCATTGACCTATAGACATCTCCTGATCATGACCAGCCCTTGTCTTCACCTGCCCAACAATTTCCTTTTGAATTCCCTGCCATTTGACTTCAGGCATGCATCCTTGAATGGGATTCTTTAGGCTCACTACTAAGCAAGTTCAAATGATAAATGAAAAGAAAGGGATAAAATCTGTAGAAACACCATCTACAGCTGCAGTTCCATTAGACCTTTCACACTAATAGGAGTTAGGCTGGACTGAAATGAGATGTGACCTTCTAGGCATTTCAGCAGTGTGAGATGTGGCTGGATGTGACATAATCTTCTCATTCCGTGAATACTTTGTGACGGTTGAACTTGGTTTTAGGGATGCACGAGGGTGGAAACCATTTTTTGTGTATTTTAGAGCCATCAAATTGGGCTCCTGACCTGTGAAGAGATCTCATGAGCAATTGAGTGGCCATTATACTGGAATTAGCAATGCAGCCTAAACATTCCCCTGCAATGAATACACAAGGCTTGCAGGATCCAGATGGTCCAGGTTTTCTTCCAATGGTTATTAATGGGACATATCTCTGATTTGCTCTGCCTGTAACTCTTGGAACTTAAAGCAAATTGTAACAGGAGCTTGTATGGGATGCCCACGTTTTTTGTGACAGGGTCTGGCACCTGCACTGCCTTGTGCAGTCACCGGCACGATGCACCGTTTTCCTTCGGGAGCAAAGTGCTGTCACGCAATCACTGAGATTGGAGGAAGGCAATGACTCCATCAGGGGCAGGGGCATCACGAGGGGCACCCAAAACCTCATCTCTGGTCACTGAACAGCACGTTCCTCAGCTGAGGGCAAGCGTGGTGCTGGCAGGGATGTTTTCCTGCACAGACTCTGGTCCCTCAGGACTCGTGCTCTGATCCACATGTGTGCTTCTCACTCCCTGTCCCCCGAGGTAAAGTTTAATCAAAAGCACACACATGAATGAGCTAGTCTAAATATCAATAAATGTTTCTTTCAGGAGAGGCCCGAGATATTTAATATTTAATAAGCCTTGAAAATGAACTTCTATTCATGTTTCTCAATTTGATTCCAAGCATTTTGGCGGCGAGCAGCGCTCACTGTCCCAGTGTGGGCAGGCAGAGCACAGATTATTTAACAATCCACTTTGTCTCATCTAAAATATTCATGTTTGCAGATATCCAAATGGAGCTCTTAAAAAAACACACACACACACCAACTAACCAAATGGTGCAGTCTGAGCCTCACAGTCACCTTAAATCTTTGCTTTAGGCTACAAGCCACAGTGATGCTTTTTCTCTCACAGCGCTACCCTGTTGCCCTGGTTACTGATGAAAACCAGACCATCCTGCTGTGCCTGCAGCTGAACTGACACAGGCACCTTCCCCAGGTGAGGGCAATGCTGCCTCTTTCTTAAAGCACCAATGCAGCCACCAATACAGCAGCTTTCCCTTGTGCAAGTAGCTGTGATGATTGCCTTTATCCTCAAGCCAAACCAGGTTAATAAATAATTATATTACTATTTTGTTAAGGCAGGACCTCAAAATCTTGATTACATCAGTGGAGCTGCAGGTAGATTAGGCAGAATTTTGTCTCCCACTTTGACTTCTGTGTTGGTTTCTATTGAAATCAAGGCAATCCTGACTGAAAACAGAGTTAAGATTTTTTTTTTCCTGGCTGATTGACAGCTGAAAATGTGCTGTATTAGTTTGTGGATGGTCTTGGGGTGGGTGACAGTCTCATCTGCCAGGACTCAGAAGACACTCCATTGCAAAGGGAGGTTCCTCCCTGCCCTCATTCCCAACACTTACTTTGAGAGTTTCATTTCAATCTGCTGCCGGATTTCCTGTCTTTCCTCATCTGTCCTCCTCGGGAAAATATTCCTGTCTTCCAGCTCCTGCTTACTTGGTCTGTTTCGTAGTTTTACTGCCAGCAGTTCCTTCTTGCATTTTCTTGGCAAAGTACCTGGGACAAGCATTGAAAAGAAAGGTGTTAGAAAGACAGATCCTGGGAATGGAACAGGAATGTTTGAAGAGCAGGAATATCACAGAGTGACAATGATCTGTAAGTCAGTGTGCAAGGAGCAGTTGTACACAGTCATGTAAGTAAGGAGCACTACAAAAGCAGAAGGATCATATTCCTCTGTTATCTTTTTTATCCATGATAAGTTAAATCTTTGCTTCATTTTGGTCCCTTTTAACTTTAAAGGTGTTTTGGGTTTTTTTTCCAATTTAATGCTTCACCTTTTCTTCAAAAGGTCACCTCCTTTTTAAAGAAAATGACATTTAATTGGTATTTTTGTTTGGCATTTGAGATAGGATTAAAGTCTATTTTTAAAGGATGCTCTGGAGGTCGGCAAGATTCTAAATCCTAAACAGATCCTCATTCCCAAATATTGGGGTTTTATTTGCTAGGGATATGTGGAGCCATATTATTATTATCACTACTGATCTCCAATTTCTTTATGCAGAGGGGAGGAGTTTCCACAACCTCCTTCCCACACACACCTGTTGGGAAGGAAGGTGGGGTACAGTAGTTACGGTCTCCCTGTGTGAGCAGCCAACAAGTCTCCTGATAGTTGCACTGGTCTAAAACTAAACTTTTTAGAAACCATAATGAACTCAAACCCCTTTTAGAGCCTAAAAGCTGTGCCCTTGTTTAGCACCTTCCTCTGAATGCTTTCAAAGTCTGTTGGAAACATTAATTAAATTAAAGCACAAAGCCCTCTCTGAAGTGCTACTTATACATTTGGCAGATGGGTAAAGAAGTTAAATGATTTGGCTGATGCCATGCAGAGCCTTCTGCTGACTGAATATATGACTCCATCAGAAACATTTGGCTCACAAAGCCACAGACCTGGGACTCTGTCAAGGTTTTCAAGGCCCTCAGCCTCACTGGGAGTGGGTGCAGAGTGGGCATTTGCAGCGCACAGGGACCACCAGAACTCCTTCTGAAACAATCTGAAGGACACTTGAGGCTGGAAAACTCCCAGGTATCCCTAAACATGTTTTCAGGTTTGACTGTTCCCAGGCTGTCCTGCTGCACACTAAGAGACAGCCTACTACTTTGGGAAATTAAAAACACAAATCATATCTGAAAAATCTGAAGTTTAACCCAAATCCTGCTGTTGTATTTGAGTGGTGGAGAGCATATGACCCACTCAGGATAAGCTGTGCTCCCTCCATCCAGATGTCTGCATTTCTAAAAGGCTTATTCTGTGGCCACTCCCATGGTCCAAATGCACTGGGCACTGATTAATCTGGAGGGTGTTCCACCAAAAAAAAAAAAAAAATGCAGGAGAAAGTGAACCAGGAAATACCCTCATTTAAGCATTTTTTTCCTAAGGGTTATTTTTCCTGGGCAGTCATGCAGGTTCAATGCCAGTCTGCCCCATGACCAAGCTATCTCAGGTAGGATCTTGGCTGTGGCTTGTTTCCTGATTTATGGCAGCTCAGCCAGGTCAACAAGGAATGCTTGGAAAAATCACACCCTTTTTATATTTGGGCTGCAGGTTCCTGAGAAAAGTTTTAATTCAGTTGAATCATGACACTTAATTTCCTGTATCTTTACTGTCCTATCATATTCACTGTTCTTTCTATGAAGTAAAAAACAAATCCTAACACTGCATGATGCTGGAAGGACCTTGCTTACACCAGTCATCAGCTGTGGGCTAAATTCTGGTTATGCTGATATTTAGGCTCGTGCACTAGACTGTCTTGTGTTTTTAGATGTTTCAAATAATGACTTATTGAGTGGGACGGTGATGGAAAGCCAAGGTAAGATTCCTCACCTGTCTGTACCACTCTCCTGTAGCCAGGGGGCTGTGGCACTGCTGCTCTGCCTCGTGGTGGCAGTGGCAGAGAGTGGATGACAGGCTAAGGCAGTGCCCTGACTGCAAACAGCTCTGGATTAATGGAGAGTTCTACTCCCTGACTTGGAAACCAGCCCAGATTTTTTTTCAAACTAGAAAGAATCTGGAGATTGTCAGGGAATTGTTCTGGCGCTGTCCTTGTCACCGCTGCACCCCTCCCTCCTCTCAGAAACGCACAGCGTGTGTTTGAGGGAATGCTGGCACCTGCAGTGCCGCCCAGTGTCCAGACCGGGAATGCCTTGGGAATGGCCCAGCTTGCACCGAGGAACTGAGAGTAAAGCACACTGATCTACCGACTTATCAGCACCACCCTAAACCTCAGCTTAGTGTGCAGCGCCTGACAAGAAAAACACGATCACAATCATTATGACTCAAATCTAACTTTAGCTTTTCACCAAGATTCCTTGAAACAGTTGCTGTGACAATAGAGGAATTTACACTTCTCTGTACTTTCTGTACCATGCTGCCTTTTTTGGAGCACTCTGTTAGGTTTCAGTACTGTACCTTTAGAATATAAGTGACTTTCCTTACCAGAAATAATGGAGTCATTCAAAACTTCCTCATCCTGATAAAAAACAGTGTCTTCCTTGAGCTCTGAGTTCATGATCATGTTTTCTTTGTTCTCATCTGACTCTTTAACTGAGTTCCTCTTGTTTTCTGAGTCACTGCTGTAACTCAGGGAGTTCTCCTTCTCCTTGTTGCGCTCCATGCTGGATGTTCTGGATGGACGCACATCCACTCTTTTTTTTGGAGAGCCTTTGCTTTCTCTTCCATGGAAGCTGTGGGTGGAAGATGCATAGCCCAGTTTTTACAGACTGTTTTACTGCCACAGTAGAAACTTACTGTTATATGTGAATGTGATGAATGTCCTGTAGCTCGTAAAGGGCAGGGCAGAGAGTTCAGCACGGGCCAATAGAGCATAGCATTCTCAAAACTGTACTGAGAATGGCTAATCTGAATCTACTTTGCTGTCTCTGTCATTAATATAAGATATGGAAGGGTGATAATTGATGTTTTTCTTTTGTATATAGTCACAAGATATACCGTGACTAAAAAAGCCACAACAGCACATCCTTCTAATGTAAAATACACATGGCATGAAATATTACCACTCTGATATTCTCTGACTGTGACAAAGGTTCAACAAGACCTGGAAATAACATTGTCTGAGTCTGTTCCCCATAGCAACAGAACTAAGAAATTATACCAACTTAATTCCGAAGCTCCAGGAGGAAAAGGTGATCTCTTTCCTCCTCTAATAATACAGGAGAGCTTATAATGAAAGCCAGATAAAGTACCCAGTGCACTCCCACAAAAGCATTTGTGTTACAAATGGATGTTGTGTGTGCTCCCATGTAAGCCAAGAGACACAGCCTGGAATGGCAGCATTTCTCACGTGTGGGGTGCTGGTGCGTAGAGCAGGATATGCCTTCACTACTCAAACTTGGTATCTCGTGGGGAGACTTTCCTTTGCAACAGGTCAGGGATTACCACACGATTCTATCTGTTTGAAAACCCACTTTCATGCCACAGTAGCCTCCTTGTAAAGGAAGAACATGCTTTGAAGTAACTGCCAAATCAAGCACTTTAACCTGGGATGGATGTTCCAAGCAGTGCCAAACCCAAGCTGCAGGAGTACTGGAAACACTAATAATGAGGTAGGATCCCATCCCAAGTGGAATGATGTCGTGGAATGAGTGTCCTCATGCCCCCCTGTGGCCACAAGGCTGTAGGTACCTGTCCTGGCGGTGCTTGGTGGCCAGAGCCCTGTGCAGCTCCTCGATGACTCTGCTGGGAGGCAAAGGCAGGTGGACGGCAGCCAGGTGGGGGGAACCCGTTGGTGTCGTCACCTGTCCCCTGCCATGGGGGTCTGAACCTTTCTGGCCAGAGGGATGGAAGAGGGCAGCTTGTCCTGAGATTTGGGAGGAACCGACAATGACATAATTCTTCAGGATGGTGGAAGGAGGAGATTTCATGGCTGGGTCATCACCTTCACTTCCTGCTGAAAAGACACGAGAGGGTTAAGAGGTTATGAAATGCTTTTGGTTTTTTGCACAGAGTCTGCACTGAAATGAATTTGTTGTGTTGAACAAGGCAAATGGTGATGTTTTGCTTTTGCTATGAGGCTGAATAACTATTTGAGTTCAAAAGGCTCTTATTGCATGAATCCATATCTTTGAACTGGCAAAATAAATACCTCCCCATTTCCCCTGTTTCTCACAGGCTCAGCTTGTCCTTTGTCCCAGCCCACCAAGGCATTCTTGATTCCCCCTTGCTCCTAACCACCAATGGTTTGGACTGTGGTGGCTTTCCAATCCAGCACTTTCTCTGCTGGACTCTGGCAGACTGTATTAAAATTTATGCACTGTGGTTTTCAGTCTGGACAGAATGTCCCAGGGTCTATTATCTGCTCCTCTGTGATTGCTGCACAGCTCAGACCTCTGCCTTTCATCTGGCCGTGGAGAAAATGCCAAAATCATCATAATATGAGGATGATGTTTGCATAACAAAACTCACCAAATGACATCCAAATGAAAGATGTGCTACTGAGCATTAACAAGAAAAAAAAAAAGAAGGGTGGGAAAATCTAACCTCTTTTTACCCCCAGATTCAGCTGTTTTGTATGCAATGTAAGCATTTTGCTGAAATTCAGACCCAGTGGACACTTCCCTGGTTGTAAATTTGGTAGTTTCACACCCTTAGGACAACTGAACATGTGGCCTGAAAAAGATGCTGATTAGTTTTTCCGGTCTGCAGTTCTCTTTTCCTTTCCCCTTTCCCTTATATCTGTGTCCCAAGCCTGTGGTACATGACGTTGTTTACACCAGCAGCTCGGCTGGGTGTAAAAAGGCAGTGTGAGAACCTCATCCGAGAGTATTTCTTGCCTCTTGTTGCCACCTAGTGCCTTAAACAGGAATTTAAACTGATAACAGCTTGTATAGCTTTTGTACTAATTTGTTTTCACAGATAACTATTACTTTTTTTGCACTTCATTTTGAGATAAATCCTTCAATTCATAGCTGGGAAAAACCTCTGCTCAGGCCAAGATTATTCTGAAATAGCCATGTAAAATAGGACTTGGTTCCTATTAGCAGGGAACCTACTAGAAAACTAGAGAGGGAGAAATTACATTTGGATATTAACTTCAATTATTAAATATTTCCTTGTAAAAAGCACAAGGAGGAAGAAGATGGTTTTGGGTACTCAGGGGCATTTTGAGGATGTGCTACTGTGGAGATGCACAGAGGACATTTATAATCAACCAAGGCCAGAGGAGGTGAACAAAACCACCTCCTGAGTCACTTTACCCTCCTGCACAGTGAGAGGGGGTGTCTGGGTTTCCTCAGAACAAGGGGTTCAGCTCAACCCTAGAGCAGGAGGGGAGCAGACCCTGTTTTGTCTTCATACCAGCCTGTTCCTGGAACAGGTCAAGGGCCAATCTTGTCCCAGTGGCAGCTTAGGACAATACTAAGAGTTTCCTTACATCACACCTTATTTGTCCTAATGACAGCTGTTCAGTGAATAATCTTGCAAAGTGATGTCTTGGCACCTTGCCCTGTCCCTCCTCTCTCTGATTAATTGGTGCTTGACTTATTCCTCTGCTAAAAGCAACTCTAACATTGTTAAGGGAAAAAACCAAATACAGAAGAGCTTTTCAACCTCTTCATCTTCCTTTTCTTTCATAATCACCCTTTCTCCCTCCACTTTTGTCTTCCCTTTCACTCACTGACAGTATTTGTTTAATTTTAACTTAGCACTGCCTCCACATGCCTACAAAAATAAACATGTATAATCACTACTGAAAAAGGGTCTACAGTTATTGGAGTCATTGAGAAAATTTAAAAGTTGTTCCTTGTGGAAAACACAGATGAGAATGAAATACCAAAACTCAGAATAGTTTGGATGCTACAAGAAATACTTTGCAGCAAAATACCCCAACTAGAAATGCTGTGAAGTGCCTGGTGGAGGTGTAATCTCACTACCCTGTAGGTCAGGTTTCCAAATCCATCTGATGCCAAACATGGCCTTCTCCTCAGTCACAGGAGAGCCTGGGTCTGCCTGTTCATCTTGCAGGGTGGAAGGGACAGGCTCCAGCCCTACCCATGGCACAGAAACGTGAAGCAACCTGAACAGCAGCTCCCCAGAAGCACTCAGATACCATTTTGATACCAAATTCTTACAGCTTTTAAGCATGGACAAAGTATGGATAATTTCCATGGCAAACAAACACTTGTAATTCCCTTCAAAGAGTCTGAAGAGCTCAATATTTTTCTATGAGCCCCAGTGGTCAGGTCACAGTACCCCTCTGGTGTTTTGTTTTTCCTGGTGACATTGAAAACCCTATTCATTGTGCCAGGCTGCAAATCAGAGCTGAGATAATGACTGTCATTTCAAAGTCTAAATATCCAACAGGTCTGACATTTAGATGTCAGGACTTGAGTCTAATTTGCAATAAGGCCCTTTTAACTGCTTTTACCATATGTAGGGGCCCTAAAATTGGAACCAACTAAAATCATATTCATTTTAACACCCTTCTTGCAGCACCAGAATGTTGGAAAACGTAACAACATTGGCAATACATTAGAAAATCAGGCCCAGAGGAATTGCTTTTGGAATGTTCAGGGAAGTCTGGCACAGAGGATTGATTTGTGGGAGCCAGGTGTATCACTCATGTGTGCTCTGTTAACTAGACCACATTTCATAGCTCTAGTTTACACCTACCCTGGAGAGCAAACCCTTCAGACAGAAACCTCTGCAGAGCCTTTGACTTGAGCTTGATCTTGGCTGTTGTTCTGCTGTCCAGTGGGAGTGTAGGCAATGAAAACATTGAAATCTTCCCTGTGTTTTATGGCATATCAATAGGAGCATGTGATTCAGCAGATGTTTGCAGTTGCTTTGGTTTGGTTTGGTTTACATGTGTTTGGTGCAATAGCCACACAACAGATAATCCCCTGAGATTCAGATAAGTGTGTGAAGTGCAAAGGGCAAAATGGCCCTGAGAAAAGAATTAGATACTGTGCTGTGCAGGTGAACAGCACGCAAGGGATGGGAAAGGGTTCCCTGAGCAGCAATGACCGACCTGTGATGCTCTTTGTGATTTTGGAGATTGCCTTAGGTGGTGGAGCTGGGAGCAATGGAGGGCTGGGAAGCTGTGCTGGGTTTCTTTCCATCTGTTTCTGGGGGGAATCTGTGGATTCAGGTACAAGTAAGGCTTGTGGACTGTCTTCAGATGCTGGCAGGCTGGCATCTTCTGATTCTTCCGTGGGTGCTGAAGGTTTCTTGGCTAGGAGGAAGATGAGTAAAATTAATGGAACATGAAGTTAATAATGACGGGCCAGGGGACAATGCCAGGAACATTCAGAAAAACAGAACACATGGCACACAACTAGAAGCAGTTCTTTTCCTTAGTGAAAGTAATTATTGTGTTAAATAGCCAACCAGACAAGACAGGAGAAGAATAAAATGTATGAGGATATTGATGAAGTGTTAGTTTTGATGTTTCTGAAAAAACTGCTGAGCTTCCCTTGCTGCCTTTTCCCCCCTACTTTTTTGCTTTAATAATGAAGATAGCAAGGCAAAGCAGCTTTGAGAACTGCAAGGAATTTTCTTACAGCACAGCTGTGGTGGCAGTTCCTGAGTGAGTGCCTTCTGTGCTAGGAACATACAGCCAAAGGGCAAAGAGTATCAAACCAGTAATAGCCCATAAAAGCTGACATTCCAACAGTTTGATGGACATGTTTATTTTGATAATTTAATTTTTATCTTATTTAATATATGACTTCAACTTGCTTCCCAAGTCTTCTTTTACTCTACCTGACTCCAGAATGGCTGAGTGTTTCCCGAGGTTAAAGCTGATAACCAAAAAGAACCTGCCATAAAAGAGATTTGCTCTTGGATTTCAGCAGCAAGTGTGGAACAGGGAATTGGTGAAGTGCTTAAAAAAAAAACACAACCTGAATCTACAAAGCCTTAATTTGAGATGGTGAAGCAATGCTCATTTCAGGATTGTCTCCACAAAGATGGCAAAAGCACTTAAAGTTAGTGCAGGCTGAATCACTGAGCAGTTCATCAAATTGACCAGGCTGTGATGAGGGCACAGGGGAATACATCCAGAAAGGCACAAAGCTGAAGCAGGACATAGGTGGAATTTCAGTCCAAAATTAGCATCCTTGAATTCTGCTCAGATACCAACTGGCTCTGGCACTGCTTAAACTCCCCCAGTGCCTCACTGCTGGATTTCACGCTCTGTTACACGTCCTGAGCTCTGCCTTGGCACACGTGGGGACCCCCACAGAGGCTCGAGGCTGAGGCTGAGCCAGGCCCCAGCCATGGCCAGGCTCTCTCCAAACTGCATTTCCAGCCACTTCGTGCTCAGTAGTAACATGAGGGTTATTTTTCCTACCCTGGCAGGTGAAGCACTGGGGGAGATCAGTTTAAGACTGCACAGAATCACAGAAGAGTTTGAGTTGGAAGGGGACTTTAAAGGACTCCAACCTCCCCCTGCAATGAGCAGGGATATCTTGAACGAGCTCAAGTTGCTCAGAGCTCTGTCCAATCTGACCTTGAGGGATGAGGCATCTCCCACCTCTCTGAGCAATCTGTTCCAGCATTTTACCACTCAACATTGGAAAAAATTTCTTCCGTCTAGTTCGAGCCTACCTTCTTTTAGTTTAAAGCCATTACCCCTTTAAGTACTGGAAGATCTCCCTGGAGCCTTCTCTTCTCCACGCTGGATGACCCCAGCTCTCTCATTGTCTTTACAGGAGAGGTGTTCCATCATCTGATCTGTTTGGTGGCCCTGCTCCAACAGGTCCATGCCTTGCCTGTGCTGAGGGCTCTGGAGATGGATGCAGTACTCTGAGTGGGCTCTCACAAAAGCAGACCATGAGAGAGGTCCAGAGTACTTGGCAAATCCCACTCCTTTCAGCATTCTGGATTGTCTAAACAGAGCACCTTTCCCTCCAAACCATTCCAGGGCATCTCCTAACATCTTGCTTCAGTGGGCACCCACAGCACCCACAGCTGCAGCATCACAAGTCTCTTCTTGGCTCAGTTTTCTGTCTGGTTGGGAACACAAACTCTCTGTATTAATGAACATTCAGCAGCCTCGTGCTCAGAGTGTGTGGGGAGGCACCAAAGCACTTAGGCACTTGGAAACAATAGCACTGGCAAGATAATAGCATTTAATTTGTTGACAAACAGATTAATGAGTGTGCCTAGAAGAGGAGGAATGAGTATTTGTCATTCAAAAAAGACAGGAAAGTAGAATAAATACGCATCGTTAACAGGAATTCTTGTGAAATTTGGCTTGATAGGAAAGCTGTCATATGTCGTAATTGTGTGACTTATAGGAGGAAATAATTTTCTTTTAAATGTACTTGTAGGGAAATGCCTTGTTCCAGGCTGATATCACTTTGTGTGTTCGTGCCCACTGCACAGCAGACAAAATGTGGAATAGAGGAAGAGAAGAAAAAAGTCACTAATGGATTACATTACAGAAAGATCAAGGGCCCCTGCAGATGTTGGGAGCTTGATGGGAAAATTAGTGAGATTGGAGTGCATTCCCCTGAGTGGAGCAACACTGTCTCTGGCAGTAACTTCCCTGAAATCAGTGCATCTCCCTGGGACATGAAGTGCTGTTTGGCACAGGTGAAGAGGAGCAGCCACAGTGGGGCCTTTGCTGTAGAGAAGCTGGATCTGACACACACTCAGCCTCAGTCACACAGACTTCTTTGGTTCTGAACTCCATGCTGCTCTGAGAATGGCATCCTGAAGCAAACTGCCACTGTGAGCTGATGGCTAAAGAATGTCCACTTTACATTCCCTGCAAAGAACTCTTCGCTTCCAGGTTAATTTGTGGTTGTTTCTGGTATCAGCAGCACATTTGGGTAGGTTTGAAGGCGTGGACGTTCTTGGAAGCAGCCAGGGGCTGGACCCCAGGGAAAGCAGGGCATGAGGGGTGGGACAGAGAACAAAGGGCAGCCAGGGGAGATGGAGAAGCGTAAAGATTGACCAGAGGCCAGGAAGATCCATAATCACTCCATGGCAGGAGTGGCACAAACCAGGATAAAGCATTATCTCTGCAGCTTTGCCATTCTTGGTTGTCAGGAAGTGAATGGAAACCCTCCAGCTGCTGGGTTGTGCCAGGCTGCTCTAGTCCCAAGGAACTGCTGCCATGGATAAGCTCTGCCAGAGCAGAATTGCATGAAAGGAGCTTGGTTTAGCTTATCTGTGCTCCTGGTATTGAACTTCTCTTGGATTTGCAGCACGTGGTGGCCAGGGTGATGATATGGACAGTGTGGGCTGTGTATTGACATTGTTCTCCCAAGCCAGGACAAACAATTTCAGCCTTGGCACAGAGGTTTAAGAAATGTTTTTAAGAGAAGCTTGTTTCATCTTCACAGCAGCCACTGCTAATACCAAAGGGGCACCATGCCAAGACTGGATCGTCCCATAATCCAACTAATCCCATCATGCCAAGCTTTGTGTGGTCCCTTAGTTTGGTAGAAGACTCAAAAATCACTGTTTTTAAGTACCAATAGCTAACCTAGAATGGGCTCAGCTGAACAAGGTGCTCTGACCCTTTAAAGCACTGACATACTTGACTCCTCACAGAACAGTTTGGCAGAAACATTTTTATAAAATTTTACAGCTGTTCTAAAAACATTTTATATGCAATACCTGCATCTTCTTTCAGCTCCTCCAGATGCAGTTCCTCACCAAAGGAGGTCACATCAGTCGTGGCTGCTGTTGGACTCTCTTGCTGGTCCTCTTCTGGAGCCAGTGCCTGGCACACGGGGGCTGGAGGGTCACCCTGTGTCACCCTCGTGGCATCCTCACCAGTGCAGGCTTTGCCTTCGGTATCTAAAGCAACAAATCATTTCATCTTAACTAAACCACGAGCAGAGAAAGCTGACACTCCCTGCTATCCTCTCGAGAGGAGTGGGTCTCAGAGCTGCTGCACTCAGGGGACTGACACTTCTCTTAGAGCAGCACCTGATCTCGGGCAGTGTTCACCCCCTGCAATGCAAACCCTGGGGACACCAGCCCACCTGGATACTAAACCCACTCTGTTTTCCCAACTAGGCACCTCTTTCTGTGGGCACCCAGCAGCCCCCAGCAAGTGGCCAGTGGACTCTGGAAGCACCTGCCATGTGGGAGATGAGCACAAGCATGGAAAACCAGAGGTCTCTGGGAGAAGGCAATTCCTTGCATGGGCAGAGCTCCTGGTGCAGCACGGTCCCAGGTTGGTCTGACATGTATGAGCTGTGTCAGGCTCACAACACGCTGCCATCCAGCTGCCCCAGCAGCAATGCCAGGGCCTTGCCCAAGGAATGTTCCTCACCAAGCTGGAGGTTTTCAGCACACTTTTAGTTGCTCAGCTTTGAAAAGCGTGTCCTGTGTGACTGAGCTGATCAGAAATTCAAATCCTTCTTCGTGCAGACGTAGAAACTGCTCCCTTTGCTTACTCTGAGAGATTTTTGTGCCAGTGATCCCTGCAGCTGTACGAGGCTTGATGACTGAAGCTTTTCTACTCTTCTCCTGTTCAGGCAAGAGTCCTCAGAATACAAACTATCCTTTTACTCCCTCAGAATCTACGAGATGAACATCACTATTGCAAACCACAGAAAGCAATTACTTCCCACCCTGGGCAGTGTTCCATCCTGATGGACATGCCTGCTGTTCACCCCTCACCTCCCAGCTTGTATTTCTCATCCCTGGACACTCCTTTCTGTAAGCTCCTGACAGGGCTATGCTTTCTTGCAATGATATCATGACAAGTTTCTTGAACATTGATTTGAAATAGCAAGCATCTACAACTACACCTTTTTAATGCTATTTGGACAATCTGCAGAGGAATTTCCTGTGCTTTTGGGTGAGGGTATCAGATTTTGGCCCAAAGATGCTGTGGAAGGGATGCAGTATTTTCGCACACTGAGCTCACTCAGTCTGCCTCATAATCACGTTTGGTGAAAAGTTACTGTTCTTAAAATAGCCCTTGCAGTAGCACAGTTGCTATGATACAGGGAAGGGGAGGGGGAAAAAGTTCATTGCCTACATTTCAGCTCATTGTGAAGGCAGCCTATACATAATCACCGGTGTATTAACAGCTGCCCCCATTGCTTGACAGCAGCCCTTACCCCCGGGGCTGTAAGTACAGATATATCTGATGTCCTTTGTGCTCACAATGGGGAGAATTATCAGGGGAAGCTCCCTCAGTGTTTTTGAGGTAACTCTGCTTTGCACATTCCTCACATCCCTGGGAAAGGCAGGTTGCTGACAGCTGAAACTGAAGTTTGACACTGAAGACAGTGAAACTGCAGTCAGACACGAGTTCCTTCACATCCTGGACCACAGAAAGTGGAATGACTAATGAAGTAATGACAAACAGAAGACAGCCCTGCTGGAGAGTTTCTGTTGAGGGGCATCTGAGACTCACAACAATGATGTTCTTGGGCAGGAATGATCAGCTCCTGCTTAGGTGAAAGGGGGTGTGCTGTGAGTAGCAGTGGGTCCCAAAACCGTACTAGAGACATCAGCTGGGGACAGGAGTAAGCACAGACCTTGAGTATTCCAAAGAGTCAGAGGTAGGGCTGTGATTTTGTTGGGAATGAATCCCACTGGATGCCAGACCCTGCACCACGTCACCTCTCCCGGAGTGCAGGCGGGATGCCCAGAGTGCAGCTGTGTCCCAGGAGTTTCCAGGGGCCAGGCTGGCACTGCCCTGTGGGAGCACAGAGGGACAGAAGGGGCCCAGGCAATGGCATGGCGTGTCTGGGCAGCTGCTCTGGGGTTGTGTGAGGAGACAGGGTGACATAACCTGGCAGGATGACTCATCACCAAAGCAAGGACGGGGCAGTTTCCCCCTGGGCTGCTCCCAGCCCGCTGCAGATCCTGTGCCAGCCTCGTGGTGTGCCCTGAGCCACCCAGGCCACTGCAAAACCCGCGACAGCCCCTGCTGGAAAGGCACGAGGCTTCTCGGGCTGCAGCATCAGCCCGGTCTGGCTATTTACGAAAGTGAGCAGGAATTAGGTCCCTGGAAGTGGAGTGAAGCCTGATGAAATAGCGGGATTTTAGGATTTACTGCAGTCTTTTAGCACAGTATTGCTGCTTTGACAATTGCAACTTACGGCATAAACGAGGACTTAGCCTTGAAACTGCTGCCACTTCAGCTCAGTCCAAGTAGGGCACTAATCATTTACTGAGAATTATTTGGGTCAATTTTTTTATTCCAGTTAATAAGCTGCTTCTCCTAATAATACAATACAATAAACCCTGGAGATTCACAACACTCTGTAAAGAAAAATAACTTGCAGGCAGCTGCAGTGTCCTTCAGCTGGGCTCAGGGAGGTACTGGGAATTTGCTTGATGTTTATAGGAGCTCTAGGCAACTTCCTTGCAGACAGGTAAGCAGTCTGCTTGCAGCTGTCTAGTTAAAAGCACAGCCTGTCATCGCTCCTCACTGGACTATATGTATTTATTTAAACTATTTTAATTTTGTTGAAAGGATCTTGTAACTTGGCAACTAATTATCTAGAATTATGAGAGACACAACGAATTCAATGGACAAGAACTAAAAATGAGCTTTCTAAGAACTTCCATTTTAGAATAAGCTGATGGTTTGATAGATTATTTTTTTGACTTGAACATAAACCCATCTTAAAATATATCAAATAAAATAACATGAAAATTGCTTTACTGCAATGAAAAGGGGAAAAATAAAAGCCCTTTTTAAAATTCTTTTTCTGACTCTACATTTGCTCAGTTACACTCCAGCATGGCATCACTGAGAATTGTCCCACAGGCTGTTTAGAGACATGGCTTTTGTTTTACACAAAGAAACTCAATTACTGCTTTCAAAGAACAGAACTTCTACTCTGAGATTGGTCAAACTCAAAAGGACAGTCTTTATTCACGACTTTCTGCTACAAAGTTTTCAAACTTAAATATGGATTTATTGTTTTATCTTGGTTTAGGTGGAAATGGCAATTGGGATGTTGCTGTAACATTGGGAGCTCACTTGATCTCACAGAATAGTCACCCAGATCTCTGTCTCCCTTGAGCATCTGTCAGGGCTTTGGAGCAGGGTTGTATGAGAACCATGGTCCTTTGTGCATGTTTCTGACACATTATCATCTTCCCTTCTGTGAATTCTACTGGTTTGGGCTCAGGGAAGCTTTAAAATGACACTCCCAAAAGCTTCACTTTTCCATGTGAATGAAAAGCAGGCGCAATAGTGACGTGTTTTGTCCCGAACTTGGTTTACTGGGAAGACAGCTGAAAACATCAGATTAGTATCATTTGATGGGATTTGGACCCATGGGTTGTACATGTTAGCTGACTGCATCTGTATGTTGAAGTTTGTATTTATCCAGCTTTAGCTGGCTTTCTTGGCAGTAGGATTTAACTGGCTTTAGAGCAATTACATAAAATATACGTACCAGCTCACACTGCACCATGTAAAATCAAGTGAAGATGGAGCTGCACTCAAGATGGTAAAGCATCCAAAATTAAACTACATGGATGGATTGCAGCAGTTTGAAGAAATACAAGTCTTAATTCAGACACAGTTTTCCTCTCTGTTCGGATTGAAGGTTTTCATTTTTATTCACTTGCTCGTCAGCTTTCTGCTTTTGCAGTTATGTGTTTCCCATTGTTCTGAGGGAGCCTCTGACAAAAAAAGATTAAGAATTTTTCCTTACCTTGTTCCATCATCTCCAGAAGGCCTTTCTTAATGAGCTCATCCCGGCCTTGCCGTGCTGTCATCTTCTTCTCCAGCACTGCACAAAGCAGTAACACAACACAGCCCCAGTTAAGAACAGAGTATTCATATTATGGAGTGAAAAAGATGCAATCTGGGAATTCCGTCTAGTCTCAGCTACTGCTAATGCTTGGAAAGAACTGCCAGGATTTTGTTTTGGGGAGCATGGACTGTTCAGCCTGATTGTGCCCTTTCCTTTGCTCAAACAGCTGTAAAATGACCCCGGTGTAGAGCTGAGGTTTATGATGTGACCTGCTGTTGGATCACACTGAGTGCAGAGTAACAGGGATATCAGAGCCTTCATGCTGTTTAACACAGCACCTTGGAGCTGCCTCAGGAATATCCCATAGGAAGAGGAGGAAACTGCATCATCCTGTCTTAGGAAAAAGGCAAGTGAGTTTGTCTCCTTACTGATCTCCCGGGACATCCCCAGAGACCAGCGGGTACACGCTGTGCTGAGTGCTGGGCTCCTTCGCCCCAGGGACAGCTGCTGGAGGGAAGGTTTTTCACATGCTGTAGCTCCCTCCTGTCACTTTTCATAATGTTACTGTGACCTATATAATCTTCACCCCAAATAAAAGGGGGGATAATACTTGGGGCCATAAATGTGTAGCCTATTTGGAGAAGGCACAGCCCATGGAAAGCAGACTGTGGCAAGGCTTGTGTTTCACTCTCGTGGTTTGACCTGTTCTTCTAAAAGCACTCTATTATATTACATAGGAATTCAGCACATCTGGGCTCTTTCTAGCCCTGAATGCTGAAATCTCTGAGATCAGGTCACCTTTAGCATGTCCTAGGTAAGCAAGTTTCACCAAGCTTAGCTTTGCTCTGTGCAGATCCCTCTCTTGTTCCCAGCCTACCTGCAGATGTCTGCTTCAGCTTCTCATTTTTCTTTTTCCTCCACTTCCATGGTTTGAAGATCCTGCCCAGTGTTGCCAGTTTGCTGTTCCTCCTCACTGGTGGAGTTCGAATCCCTGAGACCAAGTAGTCCGAGCGCACTGCCGGGGATTGCTCCATCTCATCTGGGAGGGAAGAGGAGACACGGCTGTTGGACACTGAGTTACCAAGGGGAGGCAGGTGGAGCCTCAGCAGATAACAAGCAGGGTCTAAGTCACCCAGATAAGCAGTGCAAGGAAGTCTCTGCAGTGCTGGAGCCAGTGGCCAGGCTGAGGGACACCAGCCAGAGGTGTCCAACCTCTCTGTGCCATCTCAGAGCTTCCTACCAGCTGCTCTCTTCACCCTTGCACAGAACCTGTCTGGATGCCAAATATCTCAGTATCTTCATTACTGCCATCCCTCGCAGGTTCATCAGGGTTACCAGGCCCAGGGAGAGGGGGATGTGCTGGATTTGTCCACCTCATGCTTTTCCCATCACTGCCCTGCCTTTGCCCACTCCTGGTACCCACCAAGGCAATGGTGTCACTCTCCCCTCCAAGAGCTGCATCCCAGCCTTTGGAAATGTGGAGAGCTGAGAGCTCCCCGTGGCTCTAATGGGAGCAGGAGGAATTTAACACATCTGTAAATCAGGCCCATGTGGCCTCCAGTTAATCACAGAAATGGAATGTTCATTTAGAAAAAGGCAGACCTTTATGAAAAGCTGAGAGGAAGTGTGAGAAAGCTCAGGTCCCTTTGGAATTCCCAGCTTCCAGTTCTGTTCTCAGGCCACAGGATATTGCTGCCTTTTAAATGAACTCATCACATAAGCTAACACAGAACACTCTGACTTTTGTGAGCTAATGCAAATCTTTTATGTAAGAATAGGTTGTTTGATATGTGCTACGTAAGTAAAATCTTAGAACTATGGTGAAAATTTATTCCTTGAGGAAGCTAAGGGGAAAACTCTTTCCCTTTTGTCCAGCCAAGCCACAGGAATTCAGAGATACTGCTTCAGCTGGAAAATCAATTTAGGTATTTTTAATTCAATGCCTTGAAAATACACTGTAAGTTTTGCTTATAGGCAAGTCTTGCATGAAACAATGCACACAGACTGAATTATTCAGAGTTGTGTGCTGACCAGTACCATGGAGGAAACCAGCACAGCCCCATAAATGGGGTTATTGATGTCTATACTGAGCAGCAATACACTAATTGTTAAAAGAGAAGCTCCCATCAGATATATTACATGAGTAAAAACTAACAACAACTTGTGTTTTCTTTTCAACAATCAGTTATGATTTAAATGAGCGATGTGAAGCTGTGAACTTATGCACATTTCCAAGTAATTTTCCTCTGGAACATCAACACTTATCGTAAATTGGTTTATGACTGCAAGAGAAAAACTATACAGCATCTTGTAGGCTTTGCTTTGGAGTTAACAGGGTGAAAATGTCTAAATCACAGCATGGAGGTGGGGATTTCCAAGTAAACAGGAAACAATTTTTGGAAGATTATTAAACACAGCAGGGGAATGAACACATTCCTCCTCTTCCATTTAATTTTGAAAATACTGGTAATGGAGATGAATCATTCAGTGGAGACAAACTAAAATCTTGGCCATGTGAACTGTGAGAGCAGAGAAAAGCTGTAACAATTGCCCCCACCCACATCGTGCGTGCCCAGTGAAATTCTCCTCCTTTGCACTGAATTTAGAGCACCTTTTGTCTCATCCCACGGAGTTTATCTTGGGGGTTAATTTACAAAATATTCAAAACCTACATAAAAATACATTTTTGCCTTTGAAAGCATGGTGTCTACCCAAGGTGATATTCATCATTTACAGTTTAGAGGTCAGTATTAAGTTGAGAGCAGAAAATAGCCCAGAAGAAAGGCAGCAGCCTACAGACCACAGCTGGAGTGCCAAGATATCCTTCTCCTTTCCTGACAGCACATTGAAACATGACAAGTATCACAGAAATAAGCTTTGAAGCAGTAGAGCTACTCTTGATTACAGCAATGGCAATGAGGATGGAAAATAGCTGAGTAGATCTCCTATTAATTTGCTATTATGATCACTTTAGAGCTGTGATAGAAGCCTCAGAAAATAGCATTTGGCCATTTCTTGTGACATCTCTTGAGTGGGAATAGAAACGTTCACAGAATTAACTCATCTCAGAAGAACTGTAGATCAGACTGTAAATCAGAGCCTTGGCCCTGGAAGCTGCAGAGGAGCAGGACAGGCTCAGCTCAGCTCTCCCTGCTCCTTGCCTGAGAGACTGCACTGCTGCTCCTCCATTCCAGGAGCTTCTCAAGCATGGAAGTGAAGATGAAATAAGAAGCTGATTTAAAGGAGTACCTTGGCAAGTTACAGCACTCTGTTCAGGATGTAGGTGTATGCAAAGTGCCTTAGACATCATCCACATGTTTTGTTCAACACTGGGAGCATGAGATCATTTCACCTTTTTGCCGGATAGGGGATGTACAAAGTCAAAGAAACCCAAACTTTTGTGTGTCTAGCAATGCTTGTTATCCCAGATATTCCCACAAGCATTAGAGAATGGGGAGATACTGCAAAGACACCAAACATTTAAATAGAAACTTCAACATATGTGCCCTGTAGTGGTCAGTCCTTCTTTGGTTTTTCTAGCCCTGTCAACTGGGTTTCTTCCACCCCCTTCTGCCCTCTTGATTCTGGAAATATAAGGATTTTGTGCCTTAGACTTGGATTACAGATGAAATACAGATAGAAATCAAATGTCTAAGAAGGAATAGAAGCTAAACAAATGTTCCACTGGAGGTTTTTGTGGGCTTTTTGACTTTATTAATGCTTCTCTTATGGTACAAACAGTTCTTAAGGAAATGGATTTATCACCTGGTACACTCTCACCATATGCAGTTCCTATACTGTGCATTTGGAGAGATGGACACAAATATAAATAGATTGAGACACAGCAAGACAGATGTCCTGAAGTCATAAATACCAAGGAAATGGTCTGACTGGCAATAAGAATCACAAGGAAGCCTTGGAGCACCTCATTCCCAGTCAGTTCATCTTTTCCTGATTGTGGGTTGGCTGTTTGGGAGATAAGAAGTTGACAGCACAAAAAGCAGTTCCCACGTACAGCAGTGAATACTGAAGGAGAAGGAGTGCCTAAATATCAGCCAGTTCCTGCAGCCAACAAGCTGCCAAGGCTTACCAAGCCTCCAACCACTCAGTGAAATATTCAGCACATTTTTTTAATCTGCAGTCAATATTTTAATTATGCTAACTGTTCTGTGGAATAATGTGGTTATTCCTCCCAGAGCCTGAGAGCCTGGGGCCGGGCCATGCAATTACAGAGGATGTCTGCAAAGTATAAACAGCCAAGAGCCAAACCCTGACTCTCCAAACCAGCAGGGGAAAGGAGCAACAGCTTAACTCGTGTGTAATGGGGAAGGATGAGGGGCAGTTGCTGTCAGGGGCCAGTGAGCACAAGCTTAACCCCAGCACAGGGACCTGACTGTTCATCAGTGCCCTCAGTGCCCTCCCTGCCAAGACAGACCAGTTTGTCCCACACTGTCCCACACACCGTGGTCAGCCCTGTGGGCAGCAGGGTGCTCTGACTGAAGCTTTATTGGCTGTTTACATCAAAATTACTTTAATTCTCTGCTGTGCCCCACTGAGGGCGAAGGCTGCTGTGCTGGAGCTCCAGCTCCAAAATAAAACCACACACTTGTCCTCTGCTCTGTGTGTGTCAAAGGGGTGCAAGTGAGTGTGGCTGTGCCCCTCTGATGATGCTAGGCAAGTGCTGCTCCTAACAGTGGCCAAGGGTGAACGATTTAATGCCTGAGACTCCCAAATCAGATGAGGGGAAAGGCTCCAAAGTGACGGGTCCCGCTCTGCAGTGCAGCTCTGGGCTGCAGGATCAACCAGGCAACAGAGAAGAAGCAAACAAGCCATAATATTCATTACATTTGGCTGCAGGGTCTGACCCCTGAGAAAGTCTGGGCATCTGCAGCTTCTGTTCACATCAGCAGCAATTGTGGCAATTGGTGTTTCTGAGAAACACCCCCTTGCTTTCTTCTTTCATAATACTGGTGCCATAAATAGACCACTCTTCCTGTTAGTCCCTTCCCTGTAGGAATTGTGTGATGGTTTTGAAGGTTTTCTGCACGCAGAAACTCTCCCATTTACACGTGTCAAATCCTTTTTCCAGAAGTGGGGTAGGTTTGCTGAAAGTTCTGTGAACTGTGTCCTGGGTGGGTGTGGAAAAGTGCCCCGTGCCTGCCCACAGCCCTCATTTGTACAGCAGCTGGGGCTGAGCTGGCACGTCTGAGATGGTCTGTCAGTGCTGTTAAATTGAGCACTGGGTTCAGTGAGTTGGGTCCACCTTCTTGGGGTTTTCATGATGAGCCAAAGAGTCTGTAGCTTGATCTCTGGGTTGCTGATGACAGCAACTGCAGGCTGATGGATGGCAGTTGGGAACATCAGGGATGCAGAGCTGAGTTACACTGACCTTGCCACAGAGGGAGGCTGGAAGAGGCATGGGATGTCCTCTTGTGACTACACAGATGCAGCAAGAACTTTGTGGGAAGATGAAGGATGCTGAATTTTAATGTGCTGGGAATTGTGGTAACTTAAATTCACCGTAATGAAACTTGTGCCTTGTTAAATCCTGTGTGTACACTGGTAGGAGAAGGACCACTGAAAAATCTGCAACCTGCAGGCAGTTTAAAAATAACACAGCAGACAAGAGCTGCAGGCAAATTTGTAAGGCAGGCGTGCTCTGTTTGCTGATGAATTGGTTTGTGATGCAGCTCTGCATGCTTTTCCCTTTACTGTCATTGCATCTGCCTTTGCAACTCAGACACAGAGTGAAAACAGGTTCCCTTTGGTCCATTGCAGAGGGTGGAGATGGAGTGGAATCAAAATGACCTCTGTGGGACTTTCAGCACTGCCTAGAACTCATATCTGCCTCTAAAAAGGATGTGAGGAACCCAGAGACACTTGTTAGGGGTGATCCTTACAGAGAGCATTTGTTATATCTAGTGAAAGGAACCTGCAGGGCAAAGAGGGCAAAAAGGTGGTCTTGGTTTCAGAGTAAGGACTATCCTGAGCTTTGTGAAGGAGAATCACCAGCAGGAACAATCCCCCTTTTCCTTAGTT